CTTTAACGACGACGCACAAGGCATAAAATGCTCAAGAATACATGCAGACACATTTTTGTACAAACTTACAAAGCAATTGACAGCAGACCTGTTGAGAATTTGTTTGGTTTTTATAGAGCGTCAGTATGCTGCAAATCACTTGGCCGGTGTGGTCATGGACTATAGTGGAAATTTATACGCGTGAGCGATACAAATTCTACTGGATGGCTAAGGAAACTGCGCGCCAAGTTTTGAAACGGTGAGCAGCTGATGAAAATTTTTGTAAGACAATTGAAAGGCACCTACTACTAGATAGTTTGAGAGATTTTGTTTTTTTCTGGCACGATAGTTTTACAAAAAGAAGCTTCCTTGCCCATTCTCATAGTTAAAAGCTCTTTTGACAGATAGCACTTGCTTTGTTCGCGCTGCTCCAACAGTGCCTACATATATATGGCAGAGTGAACAAAGCGATAGCAAGCCATTCGAGAGAGCTGAGGTTCGATTCCTCTCCAGTGGAATTTTTTAAATTTTTTTCTTTAATATAATTTTTTTTAACTTGGATTTTGTTTAAAAAAAATTTAACCAAAAATTTTATTACTTTCATTTTATTTTTGGAAGCATATTTTATTTCTCTTTTTTTAATTTAATTTTTAATTATCATTGTATTAAAAAAATGTGTTTTTTTTATTTTATTTTTAGAAGCTTATCTTTTTCCTTTCTTAAGCTGATTTTCTTTTAATTTTAAAGTCTTATTGTTTCAAAAAGAAAACTATTTTATTTTCTTTTTAATTTCATTTAATTTTTAGCAATTTATTTTTTTTTTGTTAGTTATTCAATTTTATTTTTTCTAAGATATAAGTATTTTTTCTTAATTCCATTTTGTTTGTAGGAATTTATTAAATTTTTTTTCTTTTGTTAAATATAATTTTCTAATTTTGTTGTTTTAATTTCATTTAATTTTTAGGAACTTATATTTTTTTATTTAATTTTCTTTTAATTTTTTAGATTTAATTGTTTCGAAAAGAGAAAATATTTTTTAAGTTTGATTTAATTTTCAGGAACTAATTTGTTTCTCTTTTAATTTTTAGTTTATACTGATTTAGAATAAAAATGGTTTCTTTTTTTATTTTAATTTTATTTGAAATTTAGATTTTATTGTTTTAAAAAGAAAAGTATTTTGTAATTTCATTTGATTTTTGTGAACAAATTCATTTCCTTTGTTAATTTTTAGGTTATCTGCATATGTTATTTTAGAAATAAAAAATTCTTTTTAATTTTATTTAACTTTTAAGAGCTTATTATATTAAGTTTTTCTTTTTCAAATTAGTTTTTGTATTGTATTGTTTTAAAAGAAGCATTTTTTTTTAGTAGAAAGATAGTAGCCAGAATTAATTCTATGTACGAGTAGATACAAATATTCTATTCATATAGAATTGTCTGTCAATAATGGAAGCGACAATTTCCTGCTGGGTCTGGATGGATTATTGTAAGAAAAGCAATAAAGGCAAAGCAAACATTGTGGAAGTGCGTTTGTATGCGTAAACCTAAGAGTATATTGAATCGGGTTAGGCTTATCAAATTCTAGCGGAGAAGGCAGCACTGAGAACTCATGCAATAGTGCGTGAAAGCAATACTTAAAGCATTAAAAATTTTCAACATTTTCAAATGAAGTCAGACAAAAAATAAAATTAGAATTGAAATTTAAAAGCACTAACAAAAGACAGCTTTAGTGCCAAGTAAAAAGATGAAGACCAGATAACCTCTATAGATAATTACGAAGAAAAAAATACAGTTTTTATTACTTTCAATAGAAAAATAAGAATAATTCAAATGCAATACTCTGTATAATAGCATTCATGAAATCCAGCCTTATACATATACACAATCCCTACAACCATGGAATATTTTGCAAAAATTTTGCTTTCTCAGCAAGTTTTCACTACCTTTGCCCGTGTAAAAAAAATATACATTCGCACACATTTTAAGGATGTACATATGTATGTTTCTCAAATCCAGTATATACATCCGTATCTGATGACAGTCTGGCATTTAATTAATGTACTACAAAACAGGGCTAAGCTGACCGTTGCACATGCGCATCAGTGAACAGGTTGGCGGGAAATTTGATGCGCTTGTGGCAAGGGCTGACAAACAAAAGCATTTTGTTACTCTTTCGACGCGCACGTTAACGCTTTCGTTGGACTTTTGCTCAGCAAGCATTTATTTTACTTTCATTCGTGTTTTTTTTTTTTTTTTTTTTTGTTAAACAGAATCCTTTATGAGTATCATCTGCTTGACGCGTTGTTATAAAAAAAATGATAATAAAAAGAGAAAAGAAATAAAGAATGCGCATCGCATTAAAAAAAAAGGTCAACAAAAATAATCACGCACACAACAACAAACTGGCCCAATTTTTATGCTCCAACTATACGGGTTGTGTGGCCCCATACATACATATGTATGTATGTATTTGTGGCTGAAGGTATTGTAATGCGTTTTTTCCTTGTGCAGCCGCGCATACTCGACATTCTTATGCGACTTATTGATGTGCGCTTTTTTCTGTTGTGTCTGATGTCATGAAACGCGCCAACACGGCTGCTTGTTTTTCTTCCATAAGCCCTGTCTGTCCCTCTGCATACCTTGAATAAATATCTGCCTTTAGTGGTCTTCTTTTGTTTTTGGTGTTGTAAGTTCGTCGGCTCGTCGCGTGCGTGATTGTGCATTTCAAATGAACGCCTCGATTGTCAAAAAAAAAAAAAAAAACATTTTTTTCTTCATGGATTTTTATTCTACATTCTACTGGCCATTCTTTTTCTGTTTTGTTGCCACCGCCTGACTTATGTTTTATGTATGTATACATTTTTGCTTTGCATCAACTTACCTGTCCAAAATCGATGGTCAGATTAACTTCATTGTATTTCATGCCACGAGACAATGGCGGGCTCTGCCACCATGCTTCCGTGCCGTCGATGGCATATTCAGCTGCATGATTCTTCTCTGGTATATTCGGATCACAATAGTCGCAAACCTGTAATGTTAAAATGATATAAAATTTTTAATTATATTTTTTATATGTGTTTAATATAAAAATAAAAGGAGGTAAACACATATATGTATATATGGTTAAAATTGGTCTAAAAGGCTTTTCCAGAGATATTAATACTGAATGGAAAAAAATTAGGAAGCTCAAAGTAATTCACTTATTGGGTGGATCAAAAAGTCCTTGCTCGTGTTTTGTATACCGTTTATTTATAGAAAGGATCGAAAATAAATCAATGAAATATTCTTCGTTTTATTTAATGATCCTATGTCATCTTTCGGTCATCTAACAATTTGACCAATCGGAGAAAGACCTCTTTATCGGACCTATTGATCGCCATATCTCAGTGCAATGTTATCCTACGCAAGGAGGTTTGCGAAGAACGTGACAACTGGAAGCTGGACGACATAAATTCATGCGAATATGCTGATTGTGGCTAAATCTCGCTAGAGTGAATTGATTAAGGCGTACGAACATGGGTGTTCACAAGTTGTAGGGATTTTACGAACTGCGGTACTGTAAGGCACGTTGAGCTTTGTTCTCAAATCTGCTCTCTGCCGTATGTCATGTCCTTTATTATTACATTTTCTACAACAAATACAATATTCCTAGAGCAAAAATAAATAAAAATAATTTTTTTTTTTTTTTTTATTGTTATGTAGTTTTCATTCGGCATTCTTGGGTATCTTTATTTTCGGTATATTTCGGAAAGTATTGAGGATTTTTCTAGATTTTTTTTTTTGTTTCGAATTAGTTATTAGTCCTTTTTTCCTAGTTTTTTGGAAAACTTTTTTTTTTAGAATTTCTGAAAACTTTTGAGATCTTTTCATATTTTCTCATGATTTTCGGGATTTTTTGCATTTTATTTTTTAGACACCGATAAAAAAATTATTTTGTGACTTAGCGGGATTTTCTTGGGATCTCGCAAAACCGTTTTGGAAATTTTCGAATATTCCCAGGCATTTTATTGGCTTGTTAGGAATTATTAATTGTTCTTCCATTACGGGATCCGACCTTCTAAAATTTCGCGACTTTTTTATAGATTTTAAGAGACTTTTTTGGATTTTGGCAGGATTTTTCGGAATACTTGGTGCTTTTTGGAATTCTTTCAGGATTTTCGTGATTTATTCAAAACTTTTTAATAAATGTTTGCTTTTTTTTAGGCGTTGATAATAAAATGAGATGCTTCATAATTTTCGGGACTTCTATGGGTTTTTCTTGCTTTACTTTTCGAGATTTTTACCGAAAGTTTTTGGATTTTTCGAGACCGCTTTTCATTCCATTTCGATATTCTTTCTGTTTTATGTAGTTTTCGGAATTTTTTCGGGCACTTTTAGGAGTTTTTGAAAGTTTTCTTGATATTTTCGGGATACTTCGTGTTTTTTCGGGATTTCTTTTTATTTTTTCTATGATTTTTTGAGATGTTTAGGGATTCTTCGTGTCTTACTTCTTAGAATTTTTACTGGAATTTTGGCAGATTGCGAGACTTTTTTAAATGCTTGCAAATTAGTAGTAATTTTTTCCTTTCGGGATTTTTCATGTGTTCATTTTTGGTACTTTTTCGGAAATCTTTGGGATTTTTCATACTTTCCGTGACTTTTTGGGGTACTTCAAAATCTCTTTTGGGATTTTGAGGGGAAGTTTATGGTTTGACGAAACTTGTCTGGATTTTAACGTTGCTTCTCGGCGTGTGCCTGGATTTTTCGGTAATCTTCACTGGATTTTTGAGCGAGTTTCAAGACTTTTCAGGATTTTTCCGTAACTTTCAGCTACAAAAGTACATTGAAATCTTTAGTTTGCTCTTTTCAATGAAGATTTATCATTACATTTCTGCAAGTAGTTATTTTTTTCAACTTCTACAGCACTTTTCAAGTATTTTTTTATTTTTCCTATGCATATACATACATCTGTATGTATACCCACATTTATTCAATGTTTATAACGAAATTTTCCAGCCATGATACACACAGTTTTCTATTTTAAAACCAAAAATACTATGGAAATTATCTTTAAGTCAAACACATGTTGCTAATGTGTGCGCCTCATTTTTTACTTTTTGTTTGTACCTACTTAAATAAACATGTTCTTATACATACATATGTACACACATAGGTAGACACTAAATGCCTTAGACAAACAAAACTCAAAATAAAATTTGCTCAACCAGTTAGATTAGCATCAACTTCATTAAAAAAATTTAGAAATAAAAAAAGATATACAAACACAAATGTGCGCATCTAGATAAACAAAAAGTTGTACATTTAAGAATGTATGTATATACATACATTTTTAGGTATACAAATATACCTGCACATAAGGCTAGTATTAACTCATTGCTTTAAGTCTAAAATGATTTTACATTTTTTTATTTCCAAACGTTCTACGAAAAATATACAAAAAGTAGCAAGTAATTTTTTTTTATGGGCACAAGTCGGCACGATAAGGCTTCATATGTATGTACATATCTATAAGTATATGCATGTGCTTCCGGTTCAAAAATATCGCGCACACACACACACATACTCTCGCCCATACCATCACACTCACACAAGAGCACACAAATCAATCGGTTTTTATACCCTCGTTCCTTTCTCTTACCTGTCCCTGAATAACCGAATAATCGACGTGATCATTCTCCGTATTAGCGCCCACCAATTTACAATACAATTCCGGTCCATCAGTACCCACACCACATGTGGCCGATGCATAGACCTTACGTCCTGTAGCCAAATTGAAGTATGGTGGTGTTAGTTCGGCCAACACTAGGCTGCCGCAGCAAGCGAAGAGTAGCGCACAGGAAAGTGCCACACCCACGCTGCTGCCGCCGCTACGCCACCATTGTGGCAATGCCATATTTTCACTGAATTTTCGTTCGTTTTGCTTATGAATGAGCTTATCCTTCCGGCTGAAGCGAAGCAACTCAAACAAGCGTTTTCACACACACACACGCGCACGCTCTTAAGCGGATATCCTTTAATATCAGCACTAATCCACTTGATTTCCTTTACTCTATAAATCTTTTTTTTTCAATTTCACTTTTCAGACATTTTTTTCCAGCACTTTTTTCTTCACTTTTCACTTTTCTTATTGGAGCCCATCCATTTATCCAACCGTCTGGATGGCCCTTCCGCGAGCAACTGAATTCAAATTTTTAAAATCGTTTCCTTCTGACTTCGGCACAGAGTGTCGATCGACGAGACGATGAGATGTTGATCGCACTGTGAGCATGAAAATGTATTTATATGTGCACACATATTTGTGGTTTGTATGTACGACATATGTATATATGTATTTGTAATGACTTTTAGCGAGCGTCTTTCGCTTATCTGCAATCTCAGCTGTTTATTATACTATAGTGGCGACGGACAGCACGCATTATTGGTGCAAAACGCAACATACGGCCGATTGGATGGGCGCAAAGGCTAAAAGTCAAGCTGGTATTTGCTGCATAAAAAATTATGTTACTGATAAGAGTTAGTTGCTTCGATGAGTGTTTAAACGTAAGTACATACTTCATTTTATGTTGTACTTGTTGGAGAGTGTGTAATGAATTTGCTTATGTGCGTACGTTTGTATGTAAGAATGTAGAAGTTATTAATCTTTGTGTTTGTATATAGTTACATGCGAGTAGTGAAATGTGTTTACAGATAAGCGACTACTTTTTTAAAGCAACGACTTTTAGTCAACTTTTTAATTTTATTGTCTTGAGGAAGGATTATTTTTTACTTTTTGTTATTTTTCAGGGCAAAAATAAGAGCAGAAAATTTGCAGAGAATAATCTTTAATATTTGCTTTTCGTGTGTTTGGCATTTATGAAATGTAAAGTAAAGATTTAAAATGATTTTTAGACTTGAAAGGAAAATTATTAAAAAATCGCATACCAGTTAAGAGGAGCGCTAAAACAAAAATTTTGTAGAAAGTTACGATTCCAGGTTATTTAGTAAGCTAATCATTCTACCAAAGACAATTTTAAGACACGTAGTAGAGACTGGCGCCCATTGCATTTTGCGAGCGAATTAGCTCCATTGTCTTCGAACGTAACCGCACATACATACATGGACGGTAACCTCACGATCAAAAGAAGTCACTCTCTTTTGCTCCTGAAACCATTGGGTTTTTTAGGACATTAACGCTTGATCTTGTGTCTTGGTGCGCTCACTGTGTCGTCTTAACTTGAATGTTAATAAATGTTCTCCCTCTCCCTTTAGGATAAAGCAAACTCCAATCTCTATGTGCTGTCATATCTCTGGGGTTTCACTCAAATATGTTAGTGAGGTTAAGGACTTGTGGGTATGTTAGATTAGGTTAAGAGGGCGTGTGTGGAATAATCCATACTTTCACTCGGAGACAGAATTGTCCATTGTGAATGCCTTCTTTTAGTGAGTGTCAGGAGGAGACACGTACCTATATCGAAAGAGTATTTTTAAGTCATTATTTAACTTAACCAATTACTATCCCTGATGAAACCGAGGAGATAGTTCCACCTCTGCTACTTCGCCCAGACTGTTGAAAAAGCGTGAACCCAAGTACTTGAGTCGCTTCGTCTGTACATCTGGATATCGATGCAGATAGTGGTAAATTGACTCTTCCTCATCCTCATCCTGGCAGCCTCTGCAGAGAGTACTCCTTGGTATTCGCCACCGTTGGAGCATTGGTGCTATAACACAGTGTCCTGTGATGACGCCAGTAAGGACTATTACTGCAAATCGATTAGAGTGTCAGTATATCCCCTATCATTTTCCCACTCAGCCGCGGCCATTATAATCTTGTGGTCTCACAGTCTTCTCGTTTGTTCCACAAGTCAGTCGTCACGGCCACCCTGTACTCATTAATTTTCCTAACGTGATCACTAAAGGGTGGTAGTACGGAGCTACTCGCTTCTTCTATTGGCATCTCTCAGCAGCATCTAGCCATCTTATCAGCCGACTCGATTCCCTTCAATATTGATATGTCCGCGAACCCAGCATAGAGTGACGTTAATACGGCTCAGTGACGCCAGCGTGGTGCGACATCTCCATATAATTCCCGATTTCACTATTTTAGATCCTATTTTATCCGGCGTAACAACTCTGCGTTTACGGACCCGTGTACAATGAAGTTGCTATACACTTCTCTAGTAAGATCTAGGCTTGAGTATGCCTGTTTTATTTGGAGACCATTTATTGCCTCGGATATAAGCCGAAAAGAATGAATTCAAAAAATTTCAACAAATCTGCTTACCTCTGACTGAAATTTGGTAAACCTATACCACCATAGGAATCTCGATGTTAGATTTTGTCCTATATCACAGATTTTCTTTTCTCGCTGCTCTTTTGTTGCAAATCTTTTGAACAGCTCCGTCGATTGTGCTACCCTTTTAGAAAAACTAGCGTTCATTGTCGCTTTTCGGAACTTACGCCGTGTTTAGTTGTTCTACGTGGAGTTTTCTTCTTCTCATCTCCCAAGAGAGTTAAATAATGTTCCCAACCATGATCCATCACTATCCCATGCAACAGTTCGTACCCTCTTATTTAACTACTTTACTACTCTCTCTCTAAGTAAACTCGTTCAGTAGTCAGTAAGAATATATTGTTCAGTTCACTAATATTTTATAAATATAAATAAATAAATAAGAAATGCTGGAAAAGAACTTAGCTTCACTAGGATTTGAGAATGGTATCATGTTCTCCCAATATAGCAGATGCGTTTAAAGATGAAAATCTGGAAAATTTACTTCCATTCGGAATGCTCAGTGTACGCTTATCGCTTTATGTAAATACATTTGTATGTACATATATACCGCATATCCAAAGTCGTAACTTTAATGATGATAACATTTTCTGCCATTTATGCCTCAACGATGGTTATTTACGTTTACATATGAATGTTTGTACTCAGTACATGTGTATGTATAACTTGTGCATGCACTAATCCAAAGATACATTCATATTATTAACACTTTTGCTTTGTTTACAATAACTCTCATTTGCTTTTTAGAAAATGCAAGCGTATAAAAAAATCGTGTTGATTTGACTCTCTCGCACACATGCTCCAGCTATTTCTGATTCTCTTTGTACTTCTTCTGGCCATTCATAATAAGCTCTGAGCCGGCCGGCCGGTGTGTTATGGAACGAATTGGAATGGCATAAAGCAAAACAAAAATAAAGTAGTATAGAAATAAATATAACCAACTTTTGTTGTTGTGATATACAATTACGAACAAATTATTCTCGAACTACTTTTTTTGCTAGACTAATTATGAATTTTTATGTATATACATACCTAAGAATTCCTGCTTTGTTTTTTATTTCTTTTGGATTTGCGTTGTTTCTTACTTTCATTTCATTTTAATGAATTCCACATAAAAACATACAGGATGGACCAATTAATATTCGTAATAGCTTTAGGGCTCAACTCCATTAAGCCAGCATTTAAGGTTACCATTTTTCATATATGTGTATATGGAAAACTTGGAAGTGTCTACCTGGCTACGCCCATGCGTACAACAATCAATAACCAAATCAATAGTAAAAACAAATGCTACTCGCTATGGTTTACTAAGAGGTTTTTGTAAGTGTGTGGTCAATTTTCTTATCCAAAAGATTTTCGTGAATGCTACAAAGGGTTTTTCACTCAAACTATCTGGCAACACTATGCACGACTAACAGAATCAAGAGAAAATATTTAATTACCAAGCATACATTTAGGCGTTTGTTATTTATTTTTCACACAACGCATTTAATTCCAATTTATCAAAGTGAATTTATTTTATTTAATTTCTTAGTAATAGTTTCAAGTAGTCTTTAGCCAACTTCTTTGAATATTAATCTTATGTAATTTTACATATTGTACAAATTTTGTTCACCAGTTTTAACAATCTAGTAAGCAGAGGAAAGAGAAGCATTGGAAAAGGTTATTAATTTTTTTTTTTGTATTATGTACATTTATTAAGAAGCTTACATTTACATAGTTATCAAGATCTTCAGAACACAAGCAAATTTGGAAAACTTATTTCACAAAACTTTCTTTGCTTTATATAAATTGCCTAACAGGCCAACCTAATACCCGCGCAATTTCTTTCAAACATTTCTCACGCACATAAGTATGTACATTAGGGCGATTTTTTTTGCGACTATTTTTTTTCACTCCTACCTCAAAATTTTGTGGAAAACACCTAAAAAAAAACTCCCCGAAAATTTGAACCCTTAATATTAACATTAAGTACTCGCCCAAGGCGTGCAAAGATTTCCCATATAAAATATACGTAAACTTTGAGTTTTTTTCTTAAAAAGTACAGCTCAGAGGTATTTTATGGTATAATCTTGGTCAATGGTAGGTTTTCTTCAGCATTGAATGCTCTACAAAAGTATCCATTGCGATGTAATCTTAGCTGTCACCAGCGAGGTTGTACGGATCACTAAACTAAATTTTTTCATGAAATTCTTTTTTTTTGCCCCTATCTCAAAAATAACAATAGCTACAGAAAAAATATAAATGACAAACTTGTAGGAATTTCAATTTCCTACAAAAAAGTTTCAGAACACAAAATCGCTAACATCTATATTTCTTGAGATATTGGGCTTTCTATCAGGTTTGTCATTGCCAGCCGAGGAGCGAACGCTGTTAGAAAAAACCTTTTCTAATTTAAATGTTGCTCGGACAAGGGATCGATCCTAACCATTCAGCGACAGCGCACAGTGATCAAGCGAAGCGATGAAAAAAACCTTTACTCAGAAGCCCTGGTAGAAACTAACTTCTTTTATTTGTCCTTTGGTGCACTGTTGGAAACAAAAGACTTTGGCAACAAACCTTTAATTCATTTAATGGTGTATTACATTTTTGTTTGTTGTGAGTGGTGTTCATTACTTGAACCCCGATTGAAAGCCATATTTAAGCTCCGAAGTTTTTTTTTTATTGCATCAAATACATATTTAAATAAAAGGAGAAATCCAAGCAGCTCTTTAAAAAAAATATTTTACTACGCTCCTACTTTTTTTTTAAACTGCGACAGAGCGTTTCTCAGCAACGTCGTAACGAAATTCTTCATGTACCCGAATGTTCCCGCTATGTTTGGTCCTAAAATTGTCTCCAGTCAAATTGGACTCTCTAAAGAAACGCAGCTCTAGATATTTAGCTTACATGGAAAGAC